GCCAGGAGATGACTTCCAAGGTGAAGGTGAAGACAAGCTCTCTTTCGAAGAAAAAGAAGCAAGCCTTCTTCATTTCCCTTTTTTACCATTCCAGCAACAATCCTCCTTAGGGTGGGTCGTCCACACCCAGAACTATGCTGAGCTGCTGTAGTTGGGCATTTCTTACTCAAGTTGAAACAGTCAGTTAACAATCACACATATGTATGAAACAAGTGCCTACTCCAATATTATAAAGAAACACTCGTATGTTTTTTCTAAAAGTTTTACGCTTTTATTCCTTACATTTAAGTCTGTGATTCATTTATGAGTTACCTTTTGTATGTGGTGCATATGGTGCAGAAGGGAGTCTGAATCCACTCCTTTGTATGTGGCTCTGCAGTCATCCCATCATTTGTTAAAAAAACAAAATTCCTTGTCTGTGTCAAAAAATAATTGTCCAAGAAAGTGTGAGTTTACTTCTCAATTTTCAATTTATTGATTGATCTCTTTTATTCTTATGCTAATACCACACAGACCTGCTTAATGTAGCTTTATAGTAAAATTTGAAATCACATGTTGGCTTTCCAATTTTGCCCTTTTTCATGTAAATTTTAAATTCAGTTTTTTCAATTTCTGCCCACAAATAGCTAAAAAAAATTTGGTATATGTGTGTGTTGGATCTGTAGATCATTTTGGGGAACATTGCCAGAGTAGCACTATTAAATCTTCTGAGCTATGAAGGTGAAGCATTTTTAAAATTATTTAGGACTTCTTTAATTTCATTCAAAAATATTTTATAGTTTTTTGTTTGTCAAATATATTCCTAAGTATTTTGACAAATCTTTCAAGTTTACTCCTAAACATCTTATTCTTTTGGATGTTATTATAAATGGAATTGTTTCCCTAATTTTATTTTCGGATTGTTTACTACTAGTGTTTAAAATTACAACTAATTTGTGTTTATTGATCTTATAGACTGAAATCTTTCTGTGCCCGTTCATTAATTCCTAGAATTTTTGTGGAAAAATGCTTTATGGGTTTCTACATACAATATTATGTCATCTGCAAATAAAACTAGCTTTCTATTTTCCTTTCCTATTTGAATGTCATTTATTTCTTTGCCTTGAATAGTTAATCTAGCTATTGCCTCCAATACAGTGATGAAGGAAATGATAACAGCAGATATCCTTGTCTTGTTCCTGATCTTAAGGAGAGTTTTCACCTTTAAAAAGGAAGCTCAGTGGGGGCTTATCATCTATGCTTTTTATCAGGCTAAAAAAAGTGCTTCCTTTTCCAAGTTTATTGACTTTTTATCCATTTTTTCATATATTTTAATGCATTTATTGATATATCACTTTTCTCCTTTATTAACTTCGTGTATTATATTTTTTTCATATGTTGAAGTAACTTTGAATTTGTATGATGAATCCAGTTAATCATCATGTACAATAATTTTATATTATTGACTTCAACTTTCTAGCACTTTATTCAAAATGTTTCCATCTATGTTCATTAGTGATGGTGGTTTCTTGTGATGTCTATAACTCATTCTGGCAGTGTGCCTTTTTAAATCTTCCATTATATTGTTATCTTGCTAAATAGATATTTTACTTCTTTCCCCAAATCACTCAGTTTTATAGATCTCCAGCTATTCATGAAAGGAACATGAAAGAGAGTGAAATTGAGAGTAAAAGAATGAGAGAGTGAAATGTAAGAGATTAATAAAATCTCAACTATCCTGGGCAGAACTCTAAGTAATTTTAACTTGTTAGATCAAATTGTAAGGCCTTATCAACAGATCTTATGACAAATGACTTGAATCCTCTAGAGCTGTTTGTACTCCATTTCATCAAGAAAAAAATGAAATTGTAGCCTATATACAAATGAATATACACACTTTTTCTGTTCCTTACATGCACTAGACCACTACTATAATTACCACTCCTCTTGGAACCTAATATTTAAAGCAGAATTTGGCCTACAGTGAAAGCAAGTATTTCAGCTTTAGAGGGCAACTGAATAGAGTCTTTTTTTTTTTTTTTTG